TGTTGGGAGGGAGATGCTTCACTGATTGAAGACAAGCTGTAAACACAAGACCACCTTGGTGGCCAGCTGAGACAGGCTTAAAGGAGTCTCTCCAGCTTCCATGGGCCTGCTTATTACTCTTCCCCAGTGATGGTTGAGTGAGTATGTGTTTCAAAAGATGATGTTCCTCTCCCCAAATATCATTTTGCCTTCAGCCTCATTTGTGGCTTGTGAAAAGAATTTGAGCAGAGTCTTCAGCAGTCAGAGTGATCTGGGCAAAGACCTGACTGAGAGCCTTCAGGGACCTTAGGTCCCTGATCTACCACTGCTAGTGACATTTTCTGAACTTAAGTGCCCTCTTCTATAAAGTGGGAGCCTGAGCTTATACCTCACAGGGCTATTTTGCAAGAGAAAATGGAAACAAAAATGCCTCATAAATTGCAATGCACTAAACTTTCCAGTGTTCTTCAGAGCCCTACTACTGCAAGAGTTTAAAAGACTGGTGAAACAAAAATGCAAATAAACTGCTGAGTGTTGGCAAGTGAAACAGGTCTGAAGCTTCAGACCTATATCCTCATGCTCCTTGTGCCTTTCTAAGAGGAAAAGGATGAGCAGGATGCAGTGGGCAGGGGGACATTTTTATTTTTTCCATTTACAGCTAAAGGAATTTAGCTGAGACAGGTGGACTGGGCAAGATAACACAGTAAATTAAGACTGGGATTCAAACAAATCATCTGGCTCTAGAGCTTTCTTTTTTTTGTTTTTTTTTTGTTTTTTTTTTGTTTTGTTTCTTGTTTGGTTTTGCTAGTCCTGGGGCTTGAACTAAGGATCTGGGCATGTCTCTGCACTTATTTGCTCAAGATTAGCACTCTACCACTTGAGCCACTGCTTCATTCACTTCCAGCTTTTTTGGTAGTATTTAATTGAAGATAAGAATCTCACAGACTTTCTTGCATGAGCTGACTTTGAACTGCAGTCCTCAGATCTCAACCTCCTGTTTAATTTGAATTACAGGTGTGAGCCACCAACACCTGGCAAAATAAAAAAATTTGGAGCATCATGCTGGCACTCAAAAAGTTCTGGACTTAAGAGCATTTTAAATTTCTGATGTTTTGTTGATTCACAAGTATTTGTCAAATGTACTGTTATGACTGGACATACTAGTGTACTATGGAGTACAAGGGTGAAGTGTGAAGAAGATCGTCACATTGCCTTTGTTGGGCTTTTCTTGTGGTGGGGAAGCAGAGTCTCAAACAAGTATTGCAATACTATGTAATAAATTCTGTAATTGGAAAGGCCCAAGGCACTGGAGAAGCTCAGGAGCAGAAACTATCTACAGTTTAGAGTCCCCCTGGAGGAGTCCAGGGGACAGGAAGATGTCATAGGTGGTAAAACAGTATTGTCAAAAGTTCTGAGGGAAGGAAGTGGAGCTGTGGTTCAAGTGGTAGAGAGTTCACCTTGAGCTGAAGAGCACAGGGAGAGTGCCCAGGCCCAGAGTTCAAGCCCCACGACCGACAAAAAAAAAAAAAA